GGTAGAAACTACCAAAATAACTGATTTTTTATAAAAACCTTAAACTAAATGAAAGTTTTAATGAAGGATTTTCAAAAAGATGTAAATTTACTAAAAATAGTCAAACCGTAAAAATATGGATTCCTTTAAAATATATATTTGATTTCCTTAACGAATATAAAAAAGTAATGACAGGTTTCCAAGTTAAAATAGAAATTCAAAGAAATGAAAGTAAAAATATGCTGTATAGAGATATTCAACATCCAGATTTTAAGGTCCTTGTTCAAGATTTATCACTTTGGTTACCTTATGTTAGATTTAAAAATTCAGCATCTGTGAAATTCAATGAATTAAAATTATCAAATGCTCCTCTAGAAATAAATTGGGATCATTATAACATTATCAAATCAAATGTATTTTATAAAAATGCCAGTGGATGTTATTCTATTCCTGCTACATGTGATGAAGTTCTGAGTTTATATGTCATTCCACAATATGATGAAAGAAATGAAAACATGAATCAAAATAACATGATGTTTGATCACTTGGATATGATAGAATGCTGGCTAATGATTAATAACATTAAAGTTCCCACAGTAAGTTATATGATGGACTTTGATAAAAATGATTATAATCGATTATATTATGCTCTTTTAGAATCAGGAATGAATAATATAAATTCTGAAACAGGTTGTATGATAAACTATTCAAATTTCAGTAAGTATCCTATAATTTGTTTCAACTTGGCTAACCATGAAAATAATACTAACTTAAGTAACTTAATGATTGAATTCAATTGGAGGTTGAGAAATAATGCTACTAAAAATTATGTTTTTTACTTCATTTTGAAAGAAGAAAACAAATGCTCTGTGAATATGTCAACTCAAGATATAAAAATGATTAAAACTCTAAAAACATAAAGGATTTTTATGATTTTAATAAATGGCTGCTTATTATCCTCTGGACGATGAAATAAAAGGAGGTCCTCCAGGTCCTCCTGGTATATGATTTAGAATAATAAATGATGGTAATTATGATATCGAAAGAAAACTTTTAAAAAATGTATTTGATCCTCGAGAAGTTAGTGATTCTGCAACTAAAAGTTACGTAGATAGTAGTTACAAGGAAATAAAAGAAAAAATTAACAGATAATAGTCTGATTCACGGGGAAGATTTTTTCAATGCGAAACAAAAATATATAAAAAATTTAGGAGATCCTAGAGAAGAATCTTATGCTGCAACTAAGAAATATGTTGATGAATAAAGAGATAAATGTTTGATACATGATGAAAATAACTTTGATGCTAAAAATAAAATCATTTCAAATATAAAATCTCCTCTAAACAAAACAGATGTAGTTAACAGGGAGCATTTAGAGTATTACTGTATATTATGGGATGTGAGTAAAAGAAATTATCATGCTCCTAATGAAAGAATTTCAAATGTAAAAGCTCCTGTAAACGATAAAGATTGTGTTAATAAACACTATGTTGATACTGAAACATTTTGTGCTACCACAAGTAGAGCAGTTCAATTCACAGGTGCGGGACATAAAATGTTTCAATTCGATGAATTTAGTTCAAAGCTTTTGGGTGCAAACTTAAAATTAACTCAAAATATGTATATGAAAATTACCATCTTTTTAGCCTGTGATAAAATGAATGAAAATCCAAGAATACGTTTAGAGAAAATGAAAGAAGTCCTTATTAATAAAGCAATATCTGTCAATGAAGAATCAATAATTATCTTTGTCTATGGAAAATTAAATGAAAATTTAGTGTTATCGGTATTAACAGAAGGGAACTGTAATATGAAACCCTATATACACATTGAGAAATTAGAATTTAGGAAAGTGCAAAAATTATTTGTTAATAAATGGCAAATGAAATAAATTGGAATGACTTTTCTAAAAAGAAACTTTCAGAAGATGTAATTATAAGTTTATCAGATTATTTAAAATGGGAATATGTGTTTCAATATTCTGAATTCTCTGAAAGGTTAATAGAACAGCATGCACAACCAGATGATTGGTTTATTATTTCTCAATATCAAAAACTCAATGAATCTTTTATTGAAAAACACACCTCTGATATAGATTGGGAAAATATATGTAGATACCAAACCTTATCTATTCGTTTTATTGAGAGACATTTAGATAAAGTGACTTGGTATGAAATATCAAGATTCCAAAGATTGAATTTTAGATTTACAGAAAATTATTATGAACCCTTAAATATGAATGTTGCATCAAGATATCAAATACTATGAATGGACCTTATAAGAAAATTTCAAGATTATGAAAATTAGGATTATATTATGCAATATCAAGATATAGATAAAGATTTTGCAATAGAATTTGTTTCTAAAATAGATTTCTGTCTTTTAATGAAAAATAAAAGAAATATATTACCAGAAGAATTTTATAATTCAGACAAAGAAAAGATAGTTTGTATACTTCTTGCTGAAATTTGTCATAATACACGAATACCTCTATATGAATCATTAAAAGAATAAATTATTTAAAATTAATAAATGGCTGCTTATTATCCACTGGAAGATGATTCATCTACCGTTAAAAAAGCTTTGGAAGCTTACATACATGAAAAAGGTTTATTTGAATCAGATGAAGGCTATTATGATGCAAGAAATAAGAAAATCATAAATCTTTCGAATCCCACTAAAAACACCGATGCTGTTCATAAACATTATGTGGATAGAAGAATAAAAATAAATGACAAGAAATCTGACAATCTTTTAACAAGAGATAATGATGGATTATATGCACCTTCATTAACAAAAAATGGTACTTATAATTTCAGTAACCATAGAATTACAAACGTGGCAAATCCTATTATAAATAAAGATGTGGCAACAAAAGAGTACGTAGGCTCTCAAAATTTTTATGCAACTATTCAAGAGAGGCACGCCACTTATACAACGGGAGGCTTTAAACTTATAAATTTTAATAAAATGAGCTCTAAACTGTTGGAACCTAACTTAAAATCATCAACATATATGTATATGAAAATAACGATATACTTACACTCTGAAATATACTCATGGAAGCATTTGATAACAATTGAAATAGGTAGTCAAAGAATATTGTCTGTACATATCACTGTTAATGCTGAATCTGTTACTTGTTTTGCTTATGGAAAAAGGAACGAAATTCTAAAAATATCAATATCAAGTGACGGAGATTCAAATGAAGTAAAACCTTATTTGCATGTTGAGAAAATTGAACTTTTGTAATTTATTAAAAAACGAAAATATTGGAGTTTATTCACATATCGAAAACAACTTTGTCAAAGTTATATGACAGAATGTCTTGTTTTGTCAATTATTTGTTCATATTTCACATTAGAATGTTCATTTTGATGCTTTTGTTTCAAAGATAACTCTAAGTTGTTTTTCATAACAAAACACGTAATTTTTTAGTGTTTTTCATAACAAAACACATAATTTTTTAATGTTTTTGATTTTCAAAAGTTGTTATTTTTAAAGATTTTATGTCATTTTTCGATGTTAAAATTGTCAAAAAGGACTTAAAATGATTATAAATAAGGAGTTTAGATGTGTCCTCTAGCCCCCCCCCCTTATACTACTTATACATATGAAATTGACAGTGGGCGGGGGTACCTTACACTTCCCTATTTCTTTTTTCGACTATTCAAAGACGGGGGCCGTAGTCAGGAAGATATAGCCCTCACTCAGATAGTGAAAAATTTGGTTGCGTATTTCCAGATGTTCTTAGGAACTATCAAATTGAATAAAAAAGTTTTTACACTCAATAATAAAACTTGATTAATCAGGGAAAATTATTTTAACAATTATTTATTATATTTTTTATTATTTAATTTAGATACGATCGAAAAAAATTGTATTATAAAGTCAAGGAATTTTTGCCAGACTTGAAAAATTAACACACATTTAGGTTTTTTAATAATAATAGATTTGCTTGGTTTTACTCAATTTACAGTTGTCAAAGAAACTACAAACATGAAAGAGACTTTACATTGCACTTGCTTTACGTTAACAGTAACGCTAACCTTTTTTTCTACTCCTTAGTGATTCTGCAATTTTCTAGGAAATTTTTGCACATGTTTCGTGAAGTTATAGGGTTAGCATTAAAGTGCAGGGAAACTGAAACGCTTTGAAATTCTCTCTATTTATTATAAATCTCTTTATAAATCTCTCTATATTGAATCACTGTGACTGCCACCGCGATTCCGGAAAAATATCGCCGAGCGCGCTTCATACTTTTATAATTCGAAAATTGATAAATATATGAAATTTTGAAAATTAGAACAATATGAAATTTTCCCATTTCTAACGAAATGTCTGAAGAACATTTAGATATCAAAATGTTATAAATGTGGTCATTGGACCTTTTATGTCAAAACTGATTTTTTTTTTATTTATTTTTTTTTTTTTTTTACCGTGCGTAGTTTAGTATAGCGAAAATTATTAGTAGGGGAATTGTGATTTTATTTCACAGCCGCATGCTCAAAACGGGGACGCATGCAAATATGACCTCAAATTAACCCTTATAAAATTTATTGCTACGGAAATTTCATTTTTTTTCTTTTTTTTACATTTTATTTTTCTATAATATTATGCTAGAGTCATAAAAATTCAGAAGCAATATATTCGATAGAATATATAACAAATTTCAATTACTTTTGCACAATTTGAGGTTGATCCCTCAGCTAAACACAGCTCAGAAGAAGATATTAACTGAAAATTAACATTGTTGTTAAGACATACTGACAATTCAGTACAACCGCAAACTGAATAACAAAATCTGCGATTTTTTACAGTATTTTTGGTCCAATGTTCACAACTTTTGGTTAACTAAGACGGTAAATGATATTAATTCAAAATTATAAGATTAAGCATTATCTTAATAATGGTAGGTGACCATCTTTCCTTAGTAGCACTATGAGATCCTTTGAACTTTTTCGGCTCACCTAACTGAGTATTTAAGCAATGTCTAATGTTTTCTTCTTTTTTTTTTCCAGCCACTGAAAACCTTCGCCAATAAGCGTAAAGATAAGAAGAAGAAAATGCCTATGAGGGAAATTCCAGACAGATACTTAGGAATGATAATACATTTTTTAATGAATTTTCACAATGATACTTCAGAATTCAGGCATCCGCATCTTAGAAAATCGTTCCAAAAGAAGACATATATTTTCTTTGTATTCATGTATGGTGCTTTAGTCGTAATTGGATTTATTGCAAATATAATTTTGATACGAAACATTCTGATAAGAAGGGAATATAACATGTCAATGTACAAATATTTAGCATTTAATGCTGTAAATGATATTTTGAAGTGTATTATTGTATTACCTCTGGCCTTATCAACAACTCTTTTTCAAAATTGGTTTTATGGAAGTTTTTTATGTTATTTATTTCCGATGCTTCAAGATGTACCTTTTCATGCTACTATGCTCACTTTACTTTTGATAACATTTGATCGCTATAGGCAGATAGTGTACCCGCTGAAACAGCCCATCCCAACATTTCTGGCAATGCTGGGTGTTTGGGTAGTAACTTTATTTGCTGTCTTACCATATGCGGTCTATACTCGGTACTTGGATTTAGAAGCTTATTTTGGTCCTCAGTTTAAAGGGACGGGGATCTGTGCCATTAATTTAGATGATAACATAGAAGAATACATTCGAGGACTCTTTATAATTATGTATGTTTTACCTTTGGTATTGGTTGCCTTTCTACATGTGAAATCTTCTGAAGAAATTAAAGCACGTCAAACAGCATTTACCGTATCCTATCATGACATCAATACTGAGCGTAATAATGTTCCATCTTTAAATCCACTCCAAACTGCGGTACCAAATAATAATCAGTTAAATGAAAGACCTTTACATTTTGAAACATTGACGAGTGAAGATGGAAAAGATTGGAATGCAGAAAAACAAATGCAAGAATTCCTTGTGACTGCTGTTATTCTTTATGCTCTTTGCTTATTACCCTTAAATATGGTGCGTCTTTTAAAACACGTTGTTTATGAGACTTATGAAACCAGTTTCCAGTTCGATTGTACGTTTATTACAGCTGTTTGGCTAGCATTTTGTCCAACTATAACAACACCTTTGATTTTTCAACAAAAAACTGGTATACATAACTCAAATATAAGTCGATACTTACGTCTTGGAGGAAGGTCTTCCGATGTTTCGACTTATGAAATAGAGCAAACGCTTTAAAGCAAATATGCATATGCTCCCGAGTAGGAGCAACAAACAACTGCAAATTTAAATTGACTTCCATATTTGAAATTGACTAAATCGACATAGATATAGATAAGAAAACTTTTTCATGTTTATTATATCTATAATATGGAACAGTGAAAGATACTAAATTAAATTTTAGTTGTAATTATAGCATTATTGAATATATATATATATATATATATAAGGGGCTTAAGGTTTAAAATTTACGATCAATATCGGCCCTATATAGAGTTATCAGATTCCCCCGATATTTTATATTCATTAACCAGTCAATATAAGCACATATTGCCACCATAAAAACCAATATTGCCCCTACATAGGACCAATATTAAAATATCAAGGCATCCCAATATTGGTTTCTCAGTGCACGTTCATATATGACCCATATTGAGCCAATTTTGAGCCCAACTGGGACCCAGGTAGAATTGTTGCTAGGGTATATATATATTACAGTTACCATCATTTCTTCATTTAACTTTAAGTATTGCTGAAATATAATGATTCTGTATAACCTATTGCCACAGTAACATTTTATAAGCATCAGTGTTTCTCTTTAATTCATTTTCTTTATCTCTTTTAATCCATACACATATTCTTTGACAATAAATGCAACATCTTCTCAAATATGATGATCTCCTTCTTAGTACGGCTTCAAGAAATGGTTCATAATTTTTTTAAGAAAAATTTTCAAAATTTAAGAAAACATTTTAAATACTCCAGAAATTATATAAGAATTTCTTTTAATCAAAAATATTTTGTAAAGTTGAGAGCTACTGAGAAATGTGCTCGGTTAAAAGAGACTTCTATCTTTCTATTCAATCTAGAACAGGTTTCTATCTTTAAATATCTATCTTCAACTGCATAGTAAACACAATTTTCTTTGTGATATGAAAGTTTGCTACTTTGAGGTGTGACTGCATTTTAAAAGTTTATTACCGTAAAACAGCATATTTTTAAATTTTACTTTCGATTTGAGGGTCAATATGATATTTAGCAAGAGCATTAAACAGAGATGCCAACTTGCTGCGAAAGAAATTTTGTGGAAAAAATGGTAACGAAGTTCACGTAAAATTCTAGGTTTTGTAAATTTGATACAACGTCATTTTACTTATTTCATTTTAACATATAAAGGGCCAGTTTGTTATCTTGTGACAATCCTTTAACAGTTTAACTGAAATTCTGCAAGTTTCAATTTTTATATCTCTACTGTTATTTTGCATCCAGCATCTCTGATTACATACTAAAATTTTCAGCCAAAAATACATACATATTTTTATAAGGGACTATTATTTAAGAAACTTTTTCCATTTTAGGAAAAGTTCAAAAATGCATGAAAATGCGAAGATTTTACTAAACCAGGGGAAAATCGCAAACTCTTGTAAAGTTGGCAGCTACTTTAGTGTCCACTAGAATAGTAAAATACAAAAAAAAATTATATTCTTAAATGTATTCTAAAAATGATTACAATGTATCTAAATGAATGTATTTTCTTCATATCAAAAATAAATATAATTATTTCAAACATTTTTTCTAAATGCATTAGTTCTTAATGAAGCCCTGTATTGTTTAAAAAAGCACTTTACGCTTTATTAACTTAACATTTTAGACTTTACACTTTATGATAAATTTCAAGGACATTTTGCAAACACAAAAATCTTGCAATTTTTTCATTAAAATGATGAGTCATACCCTTTTAAGGTTTTACACATTACCTAGCTTTTTAATTTCATTTAATTCTTAAATTTGCACTCACTTAAAATGAACGAGTGAAAATAACTCAACTTGAGTGAAATTTCACTCTTTCATCTAGAAAAAAGGAGTGAAATTCACTCAAGTCAAAAAGTGAACTGAAATCACTTAAGTTTGAGTGAATAATTTTCAATCGAACTTGAGTGAAATTCACTCGTGTTTGATTAACTATCAGTATTACTTGAGTGGATCGTTTTCAGTCAAACTTGTGTGATTTTCAATCGTTGTTGATTGATTATCTGTATCACTTGAGTGGATCGTTTTCAGTCGAACTTGAACGATTTTCAATCGTTTTTGATTGATTATATGTATCACTTGATTGGGTCCTTTTAACCCGAGTTTGAATGAATTTCAATCAATTTTCATTCATAATTAGCATCATTTAAGTGAATATATTTTAATCATAGTAGAGTTATTTTCTATCATTATTTATTCTTTTTACTTGAATGTCATTTAAATCACATTTGAATTAAATCAATCCCTTTCCGACTATTCACTGAATCTTTTAATATGCCTATCATAAATAAGATGAAAAGAAAATTATTTTTAGCATGTGTAACAGAAATAATTTATCAGCATTTATTTCTTTTAAATTTCATCAATGGTTTGTTCGGTAATTAATAAGTTTTTTAATTTATTTTTAAGACTAAACAGTGATAGTTGTTAAAAAAGTAAACGCCTATTAATTCATCTGTATTTAACAATATGCTGAATATAATGGCAAGATAATGCTCTATAGTTCGTATAGTAATAGGTATAGTTCGAAAGCGTTGAGACAGACTTAAGTGCAAAATTTTAAGGATTTTTGACCTTTTGTAATGAGGCAAATTTTTATTTTTTTATTTACAGTTTACATCATTTTTTTATTTTATACAGGTATTCAAATAGTAAATAAAGAGACTTCATTAGTACGTTAAATCGTACTTAAACATTTCCATCCTAGTTCTTGGGAACATAACTTTGATAATTCTTCTACACTCCTACATTCCATTTTATTTGGATGTAAACTTTGCTAGTTATTACTTTATTTATAAAAAGTTTGCTAAAATCTACTTATGAAATTTTTTAGATATTGCTGAAAGGCAAGAGCATAGCGTCTTTTTAACAAGGTACCCACTCAATTTAAGAAAAAATTCCCTGACTTTTCCAGGTATTCCAGGTAAATTATTATTAAAATCAAGACCATATTTTACCTATATCATGCAATTTTTCATCAGAAAACTTTGATTCTTTTATTTGTAATGGCAAATATTAGCTATTCTGTGTAAAAAAATATATCATTAAATGAGGATGGAAACATTTCAGTTTGACTAAAATGTAAAATTTTTGCAGCAAATAATTGTAATAGAATTGAATAGAATTTAATTGTAATTGTAATTGAATAATTGTAATTGAATAATTGTAATTGAATAATTGTAGTAAAATTCAGAATTATTTAACTCAAATCTCAATAACTAATTACTGTTACTGACAATTTTAAAATTGGTTATTTTCCAGGTATAAAATAGGAATTCTCCATATTTTTGTGAAAAAAATTGCAAGTTGTCCCGACTATTCCCTGATTTTTGGAGCTAAAATAAAATTCCCTGACAATTTCAGGTTTTTTCTGTTCTCCCTGACCCGTGGGAAACCTGTTTTAATCGTTCATTTATTTAATTGTAATTTACAAATGAACTGAACACAATTTAATTGTAATTTTAAAACATAATTAAAGCATCTTTGGTAATATTTTACTTGCTTTTATATAACGTTATATGCATGTGTAACACAACTCCAAAAATCACATTAAGTCATCTATGATAATTATTAAAAATATGTAACTTTCATGTCAGACTCGTTACCTGTATTACAAAATTACGCTTTAACGCTTTGTATCAACGCTTTGTCGTCATACTCTATAGACACTCAAAAGCAAAGATGCCAACGTGCTCCTCTTTGTGGATATGATTAACAGTTGTGTTGCTCACCGCTACATTAAAATAATTCAAATAGGTCAATTTTACCAAAGTCAATTGCTCTTATGGAGCAAGTGTCTACATCAACAATCATCTTATCCAATATAAGAAAAAACTTCAAATCTTCTGTATTCTTTCCTCCTTCACAGATGAGCTGTGGACAGTTCATTTTATTTAGCTCCTCATCAAAATTCACATTTTCCTGGAAATAACATTCATACATCATGTAGACAATTTCTAAAACATAAATACAAATGTTGTTGCATTCTTTTTCTAATTAACTCACAAATTAATGCTTTTCCCCCGTTTTTAAACTGGTAAAATACAAACTGTTTCAGTTAAAAAATCGAAATACTTTTAAAAATTGTAAACATTTTTGTGAACTTGAAAAAGACTTCATAGCATATTTTTTATTCAAAAATAAATTGCAAAATAAAATTTATATCATTATAAAAATTCTACGATTAAACAAGATAAGACAGAAAAATGCATTTTGTATAGATCACATTATTTACTCCTTTCACTTTAGTATATAAAATAGGCTATTATTTATTTATTTCTTTTCTTTTAACTCACTGAGCTTTTCCCCACAGTCACTGAGAGGGGAAAGAAGATTATAATCTGCCATAGGACACACATTTCAAAAAACTTAACTCAGTCAAAAAAAAAAAAAAAAAAAAGATTAAAAGAATATAGCCTTGATTTCTGTTTTTATTTCATTTTGAATGAAATTCAGCAATATTACAGCTACATAGCTAAGAAGTGTATTATAAAATGAAGGAATCATAGAATACCATATGCTCAATTTTAAGTATTATCAAATTTTTTTCTAAACATAAAAAGTTTCAAGTTTGCTAAATACAAGTGTCAATTCAATAAATCCAATCTGGTTTAAATAAAACTCACAATTTATTTCGTATAAATGTATCACAAAGAAAACTAAAATTAATTCAACAATAAAGGTTTCGAAAAAATTTAAAGATAAACACATAATTATTGTTATTTCAATATATTGTTTGGATAAGCTCAGGGATTTGGACAAGATAATAGAAACACTTCTATACACACACATGTTTTGATCGTTATCAAAAATCACTTAAAAAATCATTTTATAAATACAGATGTGTTTACGTTATGCGATTTCTTATATTTATCAATGAAGTTTAAAGCTTTTATTTTGGTTATTATATGCAATTATTTCACAAAATTTAGTAAACCTAGCTTAAATATTTATGAAAATATTGAAAGTTTTATTTTAAAAAAATATCTTGCGTTTTTTAGCTATAACATTAAAAATATTCAATAAAATTATTAAAAAAATTTTAGAACAATTTAAAATTACAAAATTTTTGTTTTAAAATTCGAAAAATGATTGTTGAAAACTGTGTATATAAGTGATTAATTATAAGTATTGAAAGTATAATTAATTAGTATA